ATTCAACTCTCATCTCTCTCTCCCAGTCTCTTCCCGTCGCCTCTTTCCTTCCCGGCTCTTCCCGCCGCCGACGAAACCACAGCGGAGGGTGACGGTTCTCACCGCGACGCCTCCGAGCATCGCTTGCAACACCGGTCTGTGCGATGGTCAAATCTGGCGGTGGCGCTCGTAACAACTCTCGTCGGACTGGAACCCGCGGCGGCAACAGTGAGCGTGACACCAACAGACGCAGTGGTGCTCATTGCTCGAAGCGGCGTAGCAATATTAAATCACACAATATCTTGATTTTGCCAGAAATATGCTGTATAGTTTTGCACAGTTACAATCTGGGTTTTCCCCCCTTTGATCCAGATTTCTTGAAATAGCTCCGTCATGAAGGTTCATTCGGTCCCGATCACTCTGCATTACGACATAGCATCGGCTATCTCTCAGGCGAACGTCTGCGGGCAAAGGAAGCTCCGACGACTGCCCCACATCTTCGCCAAGGTGCTGTATAGTTTTGTGTGTTGGTTGACAGTGGGTGCGGCGCAGCAGTAGCGTCGCCTCACTTTTCTTTTTTAATTCATCTATTGTGCAGTGGGTGCGGTGGTCGGCCGTGTGGCGGGTTTTTGTGTGTGAGATGGCACAGGGGATGTGATCTGGTTGTGGTTGTTGCAGATCAGATTTGAAAAATTAATTGGCAGTTGTGGTTGTTGGCTACGACCGCGGTGGTGGAGTGGGACGAACCATGTAGCGGCTGCAGTGGTGGTGGATCTTGGTGATGGTGGTGTTTTGTGCGGCAAGTATATAACTGTGGTGGTGGATCTGGTGGTTTTGGAAATGATGGTGTTACTACTGGTTGTCGTGGCGTTTGGGTGATGACAGTTTTGTTGGTGGATGCTTCGTGGAGTGGCGGCTTTCATTGGTGTTGTTGTGGTGGTGGTGTGGCGTTGGTGCTGTTGTGGTGGTGCCGAGGTGAGGGGGTCGCAAGTGGCGGTAGTATGTGAACCACTATTTGGCGCATGTGACCAAAATTTGACTAAAAATATAATATGTAACCAACTATTTTGCTATTCGTGATCTAAAAAATATATAATCTGTGACATTAAAAAAATCTGTGACCAATTAATTTTGAAATATGTGACCGTGTGACCCATAAGATTTGATCTGTGACCAATTAATTTTGAAATATGTGACCAACGAAATAATTGTGACCTACAAAATTTTTGATCTGTGACCATAAAATAATCTGTGACGTATAAAAATTATTATCCGTGACTGAAAAATAATATGTGACAACATTATAAATCTGTGATCGGAATGGTCGCCGAAATAATTGCCGGAATCGGAACAGTCACCGGAACGATCGTCGGAACAGTCGCCGGAGAAGAGTGGTGGTCGGAATAGTCCCCGGAGCGGTATGGGTAGGTGGTGCAGGTGGGGGTGGGTTAATTATATTATATTTAAAAAAAAACCTGATTTTTAATTTTCAAATTATATACCTGATTTTTGAATTGGTGTAAAGTATACACCTTCTTTTTTATTTTTTCCCTATAATAATTATAGTTTCATTAACTTTGCATTGGACTTTAAAAGAGCCCATATAACACATTCCAAAATGTGGAAATTACGCTAAACCAGCTCTTTAGTTTTGATTTTTAAAAAATTAGGTTTTTACTTTATTTAATCAAAAATCAGGTTTTAATTTCACAATTAATATTAATAATAATATTTTTAAATTAAATTAAATATATACCCACCCTACTACCTATCCCACTAACTTTATTTAAATATAAAATCCAACCAAAACCTAATTCATTCATTTCATCTCTCCCATCTCTACCGTCGCCTCCACCTCCACCGCCTCCGCCAGCTCCGGCCACCGCCCCTCCCCTTCCCCTCCCCCTCCTCTGTTGCTGAACGGCAGCAACGTCGCGCAGGCAGGTAGCGACGCTGCTGTCGTGCGACAGCAGTGACCGCCCGCCGCCCCTCCCCCTCCCCCTCCTCTGCTGCTGAACGGCAGCAACGTAGCTGCCGTTCAGCAGCGTCGCAGGTTCTTCATTCAACAGAGGCACTTCTTCCCCATTTTCCGAATTAATGCACAGATTTCTACTTAGAATTTCTGATTCAATTTTCCAATAACAAATCCCAAATTTGAAGGTTTTGAAGGTGGGCCAAGCAAGAAAAATTGCAAACAGTATTGTGATAAGCCACTCGGGAAGTACAAGATTGCAGAGAACACCAATACTCACTCCCAACAACATCCAGACCGGCGACAATGGTGAGAATGGGAATAAAAAGACCACCGCCACCAATTCCACCGGCACTCGAAATACATGCGGCGATAAAGCATAGAATTCCGGCTACCAAAAATTGAGGTGTTATTTTCATATTAGAATCTTGTAGCCGCCTTTGATGAGTAAAGTTGATAAGTTGATTAAAAGTGAGCTTATCTGTTGCAGGGTTTGTTGGATTTTCATGAGAAATATCAAAGGTGTTGAGAATTAATGTAAATACGAGGAACCATTTGAGGTTTTTCTGCCTCATTTTTCTGTACTTTTTGTTGAGTAATGAAACTCAAAAACGACAAAAGAAAGGAGATATTTGATAGTATTTTCTTAAGGCTTGTAATTTGGGATGAAGTGTTTCTGTGATGGGACGAAGTGTTTCTGTGACCAACTATTTGGTGTGTCTGTGACCTAGCTATTGAACGGTATTTTTTGGTATCTATGACCTAGTTATTGAATAGTGACGGTTTTTTTTGGTGTTTGTGACCATTATTGGTGGTGGATTGGGATGGGAGACAGTTTTTTTATTGTCTGTGACCTAGTTATTGAACGGTTCTTTTGGTATCTGTGACCTAACTATTGAATAGTGACGATTTTTTTTGGGTGTCTGTGACTTAACTATTTGACTGTGACCCACAAATTTTAAAATACGTGACTTGTGACATATAATTTTTTTGATCTTGTGACCAATAAAATGATCTGTGACCCATTTATATGGTAACTGTGACCTTAAAATTCATTACTCTGTGACCTTAAAATATAACCTGTGATCTATAAATTTTTTTTATCATTTTTGATCTGTGATTTCGAAATAATCTGTGACCAAATTGCATATAACTGTGACCTTGACAATTGCCGAAATCGGAGCAGTCGTCGGAATTAAGCGGCGGCAGAATGGTCACCGAAGTAGTCGCCGGAATTATATACGGTCGGAAAACAGTCGTCGGTTGTCGGAATAGTCGCCGGAGCAATGGGGGTGGTGGGGTGGGGTGGAGTTAATTATATTATATTACAGTTAAATATTTAATATAATATAATAATTGTGAAATATAATTAATTAATTAAAAAAAACCTGATTTTTGCAATTTTAAACTTGGGGACCTGATTTTTTATTTTGGTAAAGTAAATGTCTGATTCATAAATTTTTCACTTATTTTTTAATTTTTTTTTTAACTAAACGGATCGGGTTGGGTTGGGTTGGGTTAACTCGATTTTCATGAGTCAACCCATAAATTGACCCGACCCGTTTCTTAACCCAAAATTCGAACCCAACTGAAAAATCACAAATAGGGACCCAAATCGGTCGGTTTGGGTCAGGGTGGTTTAGGTGGATTGATTTAGGTTTTGTCCACCCCTAATTATAGCCACGTTATCCCTATCTCTTTCTCAAAACTAGTAAACAATCAATTGATCAAATGTGTTGTGCTAAACTTTAAGGTAAATCTTGTTTTTAAATATTTCTTACTTTATTCCATAAAAATAACAAAGAACATCTGTTTCTTTCATAAGACTGGTGAAAACAAATTCTTGAATCTTTTGTTTGGTTTAGGGTTTTCTTAGATAATGAAAAGAAAGCCTAAAGAGTGACCTTCAAGACAATGATATAAAATGTAACTACTTCTTAATCAGTGTGATTAATAATTAATTATTTCTTAGGCAATTAATTAATATTAGTAAACTACAGTAGAAACTCCCATTGTCTGTGTTTAATATTTGAACCCTTTTCTGAGTTGTACACCGTGTCATTGAAAATTGAAGATCCTTTCCTGTCCACACATGGATAGTTGAATTAAAATAAATTAAAAATAAAAGCCAACCATAAAATAAAATATTATGAAATAGTAGATTGATAGAGAATGTGTAGTTAAAAAGGAAGGAAAAGTTTTGATGTGATAAAAAATATTATTTTATTGAAGAATATATGGTTAAAAATAAGTAAAAGAATGAGACACGTATTAATGCGAGGATAAGTGGACTGTAGACAGCAGAAGATCCCTCAAAGTTTTTTTTTTTCTCTCATTTTCAGATATCCTTGCTTGCACCAGACTACGTCTTGGACGATCCATCCCTGACCCCCAGAGATTAACCGCCAAATATGCCCAACTTCAGGGTATGTGCACCCTTAAGTGAACTGTAGATAGCAGAAGATCCCTTAAGTTTCTTAAAATAATAATAACGTGTGCAGTAACTGTTATGCAAGAAACAAAGAAAAATATGCATTTAAGGCTTTTGTGGGGATGGGGCAGGGGTGGCCGGTGGGGATGAATTTTCGTTTGGTTTTGTCTTGGGCAAATTTTCTTGGGAGGTGAGAGATTTTACGAGGCTGTGGTGCATTCCTTTGGAAAAAGCACGCGGTTCTTTTATGTTTGTGAGAGTAAAAGTTAGGAGTATCAGTTTGTGTGGTTCTTATTCTTTTGTATGCTTCTTCAGCTAGAATTCAAGCTCTTTCTTTCTACTCTTTCGGTACTGTGCTAATCCCCTCTATCTACACAGAAAGATGTGTTTATGTATGTGATTTGAATTTTCATTATATTTTGCCTTTTTGATGAGTTCTTAATTTTCTTGATAAAAGATTTGTGCTCATCCGATAAAAAATTGTGATCTTGATTATTTGGGTAGTTAAAGGTGTGTTCTTGAAGCAAAAATGGAAGTTAAAGAATTTTTGAGAGGCCGTTGGATCATCATCTTAAATTATGTACTTTGTACAAATATACAGCAAATAGGAGGATAAAAATGGAGGGTTCATCTGAGTCTGGTTGGCAGAGGTCTGACAATACATCCCATGATTCTGGGTTCATATCAGGAAGAAAAGGGAGAGAAACACCAACTGAGTGGCTCCACCATAGAACCGAGGTTGGGGATCGGGTAGTGGTGGTGGCGAAGCCACTTGTTCCGGCCGTGGAATGCAGTGATATTAGTTTAAGAGAGTGGTTAGATAACCCAGAAAGAAAAGTGGATTCTCTTGAATGTTTGCACATATTTTCTCAAATTGTGGAGGTTGTTAACCTAGCACATTCTCAAGGAATTGTTGTACACAATGTGCGGCCTTCATGTTTTGTTATGTCATCGTTTAACCACGTTTCCTTCATTGAATCTGCTTCTTGCTTGGATTCGAGTTCTGGTTCCCTTCAGTATGGTCAAATGGCTGAGTTTAAAGGTTCATCTTCACCTTTGCACCTTGAATCAAACTCCCAAAAACAAGAAGCCTGTGGCAACGAACAGGTCGAAGAAAGAAAACATTCTTTTCCCATGAAAAAAATATTGCTCATGGAATCAAATTGGTACAGCAGTCCAGAAGAGGCTGCTGATGTTCAACCCTCTCGTGCTTCAGACGTTTATCAACTTGGTGTCTTGCTCTTTGAGGTCAGAAGTATGCAAATTCTCCTGCAGATCTTGTTTAAACTGGAGTTTATTTGTGGGCATTTTCATTGCTGTCATCTATGAAACACACAGCTGATATACTTTATTTAACTTGTGGGCAGCTATTCTGCACGTTTAGTTCACTGGAAGAGAAAAGCACAACAATGGATAGCCTCAGACATCGAGTTCTCCCACCTCAGTTGCTTCTGAAGTGGCCAAAAGAAGCTTCATTTTGCTTATGGTTGCTGCATCCTGAGCCGAGCGGCCGGCCAAAAATTGGGTGAGTTTTCTTCCTCATAGCATTGCCATTGAATACTTCAGCTACCATGAATATGTGGTTTATCTACATATCAATATTTGGTTATTTGCTTTTCCTTCAAAAGGCATAGTTCTTTTTGCACCAGCAGGTGTGTATTAAATAGTTCAAAGCATTCATGCTGATTTTATACATGTTATAGAGGAACCCATACTCTATTTAAGTTTTATCACCGACGTGTCCTTCACCTGATTGATGGATTCATTTTTTCCTCTGAAGGCCTGAAACGTCCACATTTTTTATAAATAGGTGGCACAAGACTTGACTACAGGACTGTATCCTGCTGTGAAACCATGTCGAACTACTCGATATAATAGTCAGTTATGCAGAACTTCCTAATCTTGTGTATCATTTGACAAATAAAATTAATTAGCAATGCCTTTAATAGCTCCGAGATAACAGTAAATACATACATATTGCTAACCAACACTTGTCTGAATTACTAATATAACGTAATCAATCACGTACTGACCAAGTGAGCAACTGTGTCATTCATCACATATTCTAGAATTGATTTCATATTTGTCCATGCCCTTTGCCATGATCATGCTTATACCTGCACATAATACCATCAACTTGAAATGTCAAACCTCATCCGCACCATGCACATATTAAGCTACCTACTATGTTGGAATACTAAATTTGTAACCTATATTGCACATTCGTGTTGGGAGACAATCGTCTTCCAACCAAGAGCCTTCTGCACCACATACACATTGTACTATTATAGTGACATACTAAACTTAAAATGAGAAGCAAGTTAGTTATGTATCAGTTTTGACTTTTAAATCATGCCAAACTAATGTACTATTTTCTTGTCATTAATTGTTTCCGAGTAAGATGGACTAACGTTGCGTCCATCTTAGTAAATTCCGACCTAGGGAATATTCTCAACTTCACTGGAATCTTTCTATCTCTATATTCACCACCATCTAATAATTTATTTTTAGCTTTCATATCATTTTTTCAAACTCTTCTGAAATATCATCAACAAAGAATATAAAATAGTGCATACCTCCTAAGGAAACTGTATTAGAAAGTCCTCACACATTGGAGTGAAATAATTCAAAATACCTTCAATAGTCTTGTTTGCTTTCTATAGAAGAGAATGCTTAAAAATACAGTTTGCAGGCTCTGAGTCCTTTCAACGAGTCCATGGTTGCCCATCCTTGCTAAGTTTTCTCAACTGCTTGTCCTAATCTCATATGATACAACCTGATGCTCTCATGATAAGCATACACTTCAGACGTAAACCTAATCACATTTCAGTAGTACAATTTCTTTTGTGTACCCTTCATCACCACTATTATAACTGATATATCCTTCAAAATTTATCTCATAGTCACAATGAAGCCTTTTAGTTCTAAGACTTCTAAGAGATTAGATTCTTTTGCAACCTTAGTGCTTACCGAGCTTCTGATCAAACTTCTGGTTGATCCATCTTGATTCTTCAAATGAAGTAAAAGTACCCTAGCTATTTTATATGCAATTACATTGCTTACAAGACAAGTGCATCTCAAATCCAATATTAACTCATCATAGTAAGATTTTGATGGTATACTAACCAATATAAATAATACCGATCTTTACACTTTACTTCACAAGCATTAAAAACAACCTTGCTCTTTTAGTTCTTTCGCAATTTAGGTCAATCTTTCTTCCATTGACATTTGTCGCGACAAAGGTTACATTTCATGTTTGCTTGGTTTTCTCGAAAATGAGATTTGGTCTTTATATTCAATACTCAGCTTTGAGAATGACCCGTGTTATCTTGTGTTGTTGTATCCATATACACTAGATCTTCTTTCTATTTTCAGTACTACAAAAGGTAATACATACATCATCAAAGTCATTTTACTTTTCTAATAAATCAAAGTGGTGACAAGACGTTCCTATTCACCAACAAGGGATACTAATGATTTTAAAACATTGTCTTTATCCTTAAAGTTCCATCCAAGTACAACAAATAAACTAATAACTGAATAATGTGCTTATTGACCGTGGTAACCTAGTTTTAGTGGATGCAGAAAAGTTTTCTTCAAACATGTTCACTTTTCAATATTTTTTTTTTCACAAGAATTTCTACCAACACATTCTGTAGCTTCTTTGCACATGTATCCCTATAAATTCATATTTCTAGTCCTTCGAGATAAACAAACGAGTCCTGTTACATGCGTGTGATTGATCTTTGCTCAATCATTGTCAAATATAGTCTTGAAATTTTCCAAAAGAATATCTATATTTGTTGGAAAAATGAGATATCTGAATGAAGGCATTGGAGAAGAAGCATGAGATTTAAATCTATATGGATGTGTCCTTTGCTTAAGATTTAGTTTCAACGGCTGTAAGTTTTATTTCATATTGTAATAATAATTGTTTGCGTGCAGTTTTGTTAGATTATATTTGTAGTAGAAATTCTCGTATTATCTGAACAACACGCAACATCTAACGCCTCATATTTCCACGTGTTGAAATCTAAAACTATTTTTTTTTTTTGAAAGGTAATCAAATATTTTATTAATCAATGCATAATACACATGAAGTGTATTATCAATTTATATCAGAAAGTAATAACATGAAATTGGGCAGCTCGTCTGTATGTCTAGTAGCCAAACATTAAACTAAGTATACAATGTCAAATAAAACAATTCCCTAATCTGCTCTGTCGTCCGTGTTTGATTTTCAAAACAACGGCTGTTCTTTCTCTCCACACCATATGATGCACCCCGAAATAAGGTCTCATACAAGTTTGTTATCCTTATCTCGAAACTTTCTCTTTCATGTCTTTAACACGTCTTTCATACGTCTCGGCAACACCAAATTCATGTGTTGCAACGCTAGAATATCGTTCCACAGTAAACTAGCAGTATTACAATGAAGGAACAAGTGGTCAATTGTCTCCTCATTCCTCTTGCACATATAGCACTACTCTGTAACATAAAAATCCCTCGTAAAAAGATTATTCACCGTTAACACTCGTCTTCTAACCACCGTCCATAGTAAAAATGCTACCCGTGGAGGCAGTTTACATTTCCATACCATCTTTCAGGGAAATGAACTCTCCACAAGTGAAATCTGAAACTATTAATACTATAAAACTTCTCCATCTTAAATCTTGCTTTGGTCATGGTCATATTTACTAGCTTAGATGAAGATTTGTCATCTTTGAATAAAATAACTAATATCTTCATCAAGAGACAACAACAAATTAAGCCTTCTTCCCAATATATTTGGTGTTAGCAACATGAATCACTTTTGGCCACTTTGTTTGGTTCAATCCTAGGTGCAAAACAACTAGATCTTTAGGAACAGTTTAGCACTAGTTGGGAATGTTCAAATGAAATGTGTATTAGGATTCATGTCATAAGATTTGACAGATATTATGGTTGTTTTCAACTTACTGCAACCTTCGTTTACCTAGAATTGGGACCAACTATGAAAAGAATATGCGGAGTTAAAAAACTATTGTACCTAATAGAAAAAGAATTTTGATTTAAAAATCATAGAGGAACCATTGACTATACACTTGTTGAGAAAACCTCACAACCAAAAGTTGATTCTGAAATATAATAGTCAAAACTAAATCATAAAAATGTACAGAAAGGAATACCATAAAATTTATAAGAATGTGGTAACTGTTACACATATCCTCGCATTGTTGAGTCACTTTAACTTCAAGCAAGGAAATATGAACTTAGAAATTGCAAAATCTACCCACTTTTCTGGAATATTCAAGAGAGACATGTACAGATATCAATAAGAAAAAGGGAACCAATGACATACTAAATTTTGTGTGAATCTAATTACATACTTTCTACTAAATGTATGGCAACCTCAAACTTTCCTCCACTGCCTTCTGAATTGATTCATCTTGAAGTTGTATACTAGGTTTTACAGAACTTTAAGATAGTACTTTGCTGGAATTCCTTCTGCTTGTGCAACAAAGAAAACAGGAAGCTGCAGAGATCTTGCATGAGACTATATCGTTTATGTCTTCAGATATAGAAGAAGTCTCAAAGCTTCAAGCAGCCCTCAGGGTAAAAGGAGGCTCAAGATCAGAATTGAACAGTACTTTATCTTCAGGTCCCCCTATGATGAATACTACTGATGATGATGATTCTAGTAGCTCAGGATCCAGGAAGCGGTTACGGAAGGGAATCTATATCGATAACACAGAAGAATCAGAAGACCATGCCCATGCAGATGAGCATCAGAACTCAGAGGTTCCTGATGGAAATCAAGGAAGTGTCCTCTCCAAAAGTTATCGACTTATGAAGAACTTTAGAAAATTGGAATCATCTTACTTTTTGACAAGACGTAGGCCCATCAAACCAACAGGCAGAACATTGATTGGACATTCTCCAGTAAGTAGCTATGGTAGAAGATCAATTGCACTAACTGAAAGAAGTTCAGTTAGTAACTTGTCGTCTAAAGAACGGTATAATGATCATAGACCAAGTGGATGGATAAATACATTCCTAGAGGGGTTTTGCAAGTATCTCTATTTTAGTAAACTAAAAGTCAAGGCAGACTTGAAACAAGGGGATCTTTTAAATTCATCAAACCTCGTATGCTCTCTTAGTTTTGATCGTGATGGTAAATTTTTTGCAACTGCTGGCGTAAACAAGAAGATCAAAGTTTTTGAATATAGTTCGATCTTAAATGAAGACCGTGATATCCATTATCCTGTGGTTGAAATGGCAAGCAGGTCAAAGCTTAGCAGCATATGTTGGAATGGCTATATCGAAAGCCAGATCGCTTCGAGTAACTTTGAAGGTGTGGTGCAGGTAGTCGGAGTTCCAATACTAGATGTTATTCACATTTTCTTTGTACTTAGATTGTTAATCATTTTTTCACCGATATTGTGCAGGTATGGGATGTTACGAGGAGTCAAATTTTCACGGAAATGAAAGAACATGAAAGGTATGTCTGGTCTGTTGACTTTTCTGTAGCAGATCCAACAATGCTAGCCAGCGGCAGCGACGATGGTTCCGTTAAGCTCTGGAATATCAATCAGGTTGCAATTGGTGGATGTCAGCTTTGAAACTACATGTACTTACAGTCATCTAGTTATCAATGCTGTGTAGATTCAGTTCTCAATGTAATAAAGTTGTTTCTCTTAAATGGGTTGCTACTGCAGGGAGGAAGTGTTGGTACAATTAAGACAAAGGCCAATGTCTGCTGTGTTCAATTCCCATTGGACTCTGGTCATTCCCTTGCTTTCGGTTCAGCAGATCATAGGATATATTACTATGATCTACGCAACTTAAAAATGCCTCTATGCACTTTAGTTGGGCATAACAAAACAGTGAGCTACATTAAGTTCATAGATTCAACGACTCTTGTGTCTGCATCTACGGATAACACATTAAAGCTTTGGGATTTGTCAACGTGCACGTCACGGGTACTTGATTGTCCTCTCCAGTCATTTACTGGCCACCTGAATGTGAAGGTAGTTTGTTCTGTTTTGTCCACTCAAGACTCCTATAATTTTCTTTTGTTATTCTGTCCTTTATTTGATATTTAACCAATGAAAATATAATCATGTTTTGCATCTGATGGTAGACATTGTTTTTATTCAGAATTTCGTTGGTTTATCTGTATGCGACGGTTATATTGCAACAGGCTCGGAGACAAATGAGGTAACTCATGTCATGAATATATTTCTTTTCACTGTACAAACTTTTATTTATTCTTGTCAAGTTTTTTTCTTATACTTCCATGTTATGGTAAATGAGACTGTTCTTCCAATTTAAAAGCAATTGGCAGGAATCAGATTTGTAGGAAATGTTCCTTGGCGTATGATATTGACACTAAAAGCTCTCTCACATCTTTTTTGGAGAATTTTTGCACTTCACCATATTACGAGGTCAAATTTTTTATGAAATAGGAAAGTAGAATATAGGGACATGGCTTTTTGAATTTAGTTGTGAGGAAGACTCGAATTGAGTTTCTACGCAAAATATAACTAACACATGAAATATACATGAACAAACTCATTTTATTTTTCTTTCTGTTTTTTTGGGAGGCGGGAATCTAGAATGCCAGCACAAGCCACGGGCTTAAAAACTAAAGACATTACTGGAATTTGTCTTCGAAATGACCTTTTTCTTTTTTTTTTTTTACTGTTATAGTAGTTTCAATTCTCCTGATTGACAATCAGCCTTCACTCTACAGGTTTTCGTCTATCACAAATCTTTGCCGATGCCTGCATTATCATTTAAGTTTAACAACACAGATCCACTTTCCAGAAATGAAGTGGACGATAGAGCACAATTTATCTCGTCTGTGTGTTGCCGTGGTCAGTCGTCCACCTTGGTTGCTGCCAATTCCATGGGAAATATTAAGCTTCTAGAGATGGTCTAATTTGGTCGGTTATCGTGACAATTCATTCCGGTTGAGAATTCTGAACAGATCCAGGAGAAATGAGTCTAGCAGCTGAAGCAAAAAGTGGCTCACAGCTTTTAAGTTGATTGTTTCACTCAAGGTTATAGCAACAAGACATTTGAGACTAGCAAAAGATCCTTAAAAGAGTGAGATTCATCTTTTGATAAAGTCTGTGTTGAACATAAAAAATTCAAGAGTGTGGTGGGGGGGGGTAAGGTAACATTGATTTTTTATTGTACATTCTTCAACTCTTACAGATTTTAATAATTTCGATACAATACGGAATCCTGGACATATGTACAAGTTTTTGCTTGAACAGAATTTGATGTTTTGGAATGCTGATCAGAATTTTATATTCTTCATCAATTTCACTCAAATCTTGATCCAAACTTTTTCAGGCATCCTTTTGTGTCTTTTTACATTCAGATGAAGTTATACAGCAACGTTAAACCTGGTATAATTGAACCACAAGTTGTAGTTGAATGTTTGCATCCAGGCTATGCAATGAAACTCAGCAGACAATCTGGAAGACGAAATGAACTTTTTATGTGTATTATATCAAATAGAACTTCCAAAAATGGGGATGAGATACAATATTCTGATAAGTTATATTGGTGCTGGTAAGGGAATTAGGCTAGCCTATCTGTATCCTCGAGCAAGAAAGATAACAGTAAAATCTACTTAACACTGATTTTTACTAAAATCATCTGACAAAACTAGTTTACCTAAAAGTCGCTGAAGCCTTTGAGCACCCGGTCCTGGTTTAAGCCTTGTGGGATTTCCAACATCGGAGCAAGGAGGGTTTCCGGTGCACCAACCGCCTGGTGTGAAGCTCCCATTTTCTCGTCCAAGTAATTCTTTATCAATTTTGTCGAGGACAGGAACATTTTGCTTGAATTTACGCGCAAAGGCAGCATCACTTGCAATCATTTTTTCTGTATCGTTAAGAGAGAGGGTACGGGGATGCTGTTTGGGAGGAATATCCCAAGAAATGTAGTGCATGTCATGGTTGACGACTGTTGGGATAAATTCTGGAGCATTGCAGATAACGGTCTGGAAGTAGCCTTCTGGGGAGGACACAAAATTTGTGTAATACATGAGTAGGTTTCTAGGAAGATTATCCCAGCCCCATATGCAGTACTCCACAAATGCATGCGAGAGGACCATCCAAGCTGAACCTGCAAAACACACGTGTAGCAAGAGGAATTCCACAACTCAGCAGACGAGAAAAGTACAATGAAACTGGAAGTCAAGAAAGCAAAAATGCTTGCAAGCAGATCATTTTGTTTGGACAGTAGCTTTTAAATATATACCGAGTTCCCATAATGCCCGAAACTTTATCCTTAGTAAATATCAGCTCGACGTATTTACTTCATTAAGTTTTACAGATAACTCATTTTTAAAATGGCAACCAAGATCAATTTTCATCAGTAATGTCGATAACCTTTCGTCTGCTAGTTTCCCCACCAAAGACCGAGTAATGAAGCGAAAAAATCTATTGGGAGAACAGGCACCATATACAAGATTATGAGCCCGTCAAATGATAATCCCAGAAGATGGTACTGGCAAATATATTGCTGAAATCAACATATTGAACAAATATTTTAATAAAAATTAAATGTATGAACTGACCAGTATACAAATTGAATGCTGTTGGCAAATTTCTCCGAGGTCTGACCAAAAAGATATCAGACTTGTTTTTCTCGTAGAGCCCGGGGTCTACAATCAATGGCATCGCCCTTTTGCCTCTACATTACAATCAAATATATGATAAGATTTTCCTTCTTTCTTTTTTCTGTAATTATCGCATTCTGCACAGGGAACTTACGCTTTCCATCCTAAACGGCTTGTATGCTCAATAAAATTTAATTCTCGTTTTAAATTGGAAAATGCGTGAAGAAGATCTGCAAGAAGAAACTATGTAGTTCAGAAATATGTACATATAAATCTGGAACAAATAATTGTGATATTTTGGCCACAAGAAATAATTAAATAGAATGCACAAACTTCTTGCAGTAAGAAGACCAAAAGACAAACTCACCATCTTGAGTAACCAAGGGATAATCTGATGCACTGAGATTAATAAACCAATCCCAGTCATTATGTCTTTTGAGAAGAATGGCACATGCATTAAGAGTATTAGAAACCATGGTGGGCCCTCTGTAAGTAACCATATTTGCTTTGGTATTCATGTACACATTTCCAACCTTTGAGAAAATGGGATCCTTTTCCACTCGAGATGCGAGCTGTAATCTCTCCTCTGGCGGTGACTCAAGATCTAGATGAACAACATAATAATTCTGTGGATGATACAATGCCTGAAGTGTCCTCCAGAGCTTCTCCAGATCACCTTTGGACCCGGAAATCAAATAAGCAAATTTTGGAACAGAAGGCCCGGCAGGAGGTGGTGGGGCTTGCTTAATCTTTGTCTCGACAAAATAAGGGCTGCTTTGATTGGTCATAACACGAGATGGGAATAACGGAAAGATTGAATTGATTGTGTGCAATGATGACACAAGCCCCATATTGAATGAGGTTGCAAAAAGTAAAACACATACTAACGAAGTTATGACAAGAGGGAATACCCATTTCTTCTCCACGATCAAGTACCCCATTGCTAAACCTTGTGATCATTAGTTCCACCAAGAAATTATAATCAAAGTTGAACTGCTCTGTGTTCTCATCAATTCAACAAGTCACGCATGACAGTATGAGGGCAATAATTAATGGAGGTGCTCTTGGTTCCTACTCTGGCACAAAATTTTCAAACGAAGATCAACAACGTGTTAAATCAAACTTCGTGAATCTCATTCTGTACTCTATAAACATAGTTATTAAATTAAAAAACTCGTAACAACAACTGCGGTCTTAGCCTATTAAATTAATACTACCACATCCTGCGCAGTAATCAGAGTCCCAAAACAACTTGGTTTAATATTTATTCGTGTGGCTGTAGTGTAGGTGTAAATAATTAAGCAGAGAAGCCAACAACAAATTTTTAGGATTCAAAAAAATTGAGTAAACAATTGGATGAATTTTCGGTCACAATTGAGCTAAATTCTAATATGAAACAAAACAGCACATATATTTGAAATTTATTACCAAATAGAAAAACTACCAAGAACTTAATTCACAATAAATACAAGAAAATCTCTTTTTTTGAAAAATTAAAAATCAAAGCTTCAATGAGTGGACCAATAATTCAAACATCAAGTGGACAAAATTTTCTGTAATTGGAAGAATTTCACGAAGCTTGGTATATTCACTGCACTGGTCACTCTAATCAGCACAAGTAAATGTAAAAACATATCAAAACACAAATTACACAAACACGCATATATTCACGTGAGTATATTATAAAGAAAACGAACCTATATCGTGTCGTTTATTACGTCGGTGTGAAGAAACTGTCTACAGAGAGAATATAATACGCATACCACCAGAGACAAATCGGAGAGAGAGCTGTGTAAGTGAGAGAAAATGGTAAACTGTGATGGATTTTTGGTGGATGTTTTCTTTATTAGATTATTGAAATCTCAAAATTCTCTACAATCAGTGAAAGATGCTTGCAATTTGTCATTTATGGTAGATATGAGTTGTATTTGCAATATGGAGGAAATTTTTTAGGGTACTTTCATTTTTCAATTTTACATAGACTGGAAATGTGTTTGGTTTAATATTTCTGAAAACAACCTTAAACTTATAGCGTAAAATTTAAAACACATTTTTGACGTATTTTCTAGTTTTTTCCAAAAAAAATATTATTTTTAAAATGACAAATCAAACGCGTTTTTTATAATTTTAAAATAGATCCTAGAAAATTAAGAATGAACTCAAAACTCAAATAAAACTAAATGGGCCCTTATTTTCTTACAAGTTAATATTTTAAATATCACCCTATATTAGAGTACATTTTAGTACAACTATCTTATTATCATTTCACTTTGATCACTAATTTTGCTCTCGACGTTCTTTTCTTGTGGTTAAAGTTATGACTTTAGACTTGTCGGGATTCTATTGTGTGATGAGTGGTGCAAGGCTCAAGAATAATTTCACGATTATATGGCTTGTCTGCAATTACTAGCGATTATAACTTTATACAGAAGAATTTTGTATCAACCCTTGCCCTATCCATCGTAGCTTCTCTGCATTTTCAGCCTCTACCTCTCTCTCTCTTGTTGCCTCCTCTCTCTCTCTCTCTCTCTCTCTCTCTCTCTCTCTCTCTCTC